CCAGGCCAGGTTAGGGAAGGGACCTGGTAGGGCTGGGACTCTTTGGGCAGGGACAGCATTTCTGTTAGGGAGGGGATCACAGAGCCCCATGTTCTTGGGTTCAGACCCTGGCCCTGCCACTCACCACATAGGGACCTGGGCACTTTATCCCAGTGCCACTCGAGCCTCAGTGACTTCATCTGCAAGATCGCCATAAACCCTGCCTAGGAGGGCTATCGGAAGGACAGAAATGTAAAGGAGGTCATGTATGAGACACTTTGGCACACTCTGGGTGCTCAAAACATGGGCTCCAAGGATTGACTGGGGTAAACCAGGTTCAGAGTTGAGTAGGCCTGCCCCTCACCCTTCCCTTGGTGGGCTCTGAGCGCCCAGGTGGGGAGACATGGCCCATGAGTCGAGGTCCCATCAACTGAAAGCTAGGCTGCCCTAGGGAGGGTCTCCACACTGGGGGCTACTCCCGAGGGCAGCTGAAGGGCCTACCTTGCTCCTGCACAGAGAAGCTGTCAGGTCTGACAGCTGACTGGTCTCCCTGTCTTGCTGTGAACATAGCTGAAGCCTAGGGGTGGGAATAGGGGATAGTCTGCTTTATCCACACAGCCCCTGCAGCAGGGGCAGGTTTTAGGGGATAAGGTAGGCTCCCCTTTGCCCAACTTTCTCTCAATTCCCCACCAGAAAGAGGAAAGCAACCCTGCCTAAGAGAGCCATTCTCACCCTGTCAGCCCTGCTCCCTGGTTGGCACTCCGCAGCAGCCCAGCAGACAGTATAGGCAACTGTTGTCCACCTGTCCCCAGTAGTCTGGACATTCTGAGGACAGGAGCAATGGGAGAAAGAATAATCTTGAAGCCACTTTGCCATGTCAGAACCCTGTCATGGAACTTGGCAAGCTACTTCATCATGCTGAGCCTTGGTTTCTCATCTGTAAAATGGAATCATAATGCCTACCTACAGGATTTGAGATACATTTTGTTAAGTATCTAGTTCAGTGGTCTGTACACTTTTGAAAAGCACACAAGCTCTTATTCAAATCAAATCTCAGGAGAAACTCCAATATAAAAAACAGCTCTGTTGGAAGCAGGGGTGGCGGGCCCTAGGACTCCCCTGCCACACCCTGAGGGTCCAGGGAGTCCAGTGTAAAAAGATGCAACTATTTTCAGGAGCCACCTGAAAAGGCTGTACCAGTAGGAAGTAGACAGACTGACAAGCTAGCATCAAAAGCCAGGTATATCTCTAGGGGAGGCAGATGTGGATATGGGGAGGAGGGACTGCTTCACTCCTGAGGTCCCCATCCTCCAGGAGATGGGATGAGGAAATGAGAGACTTCCTTGCCATGGCTGCCTCTCACTCATTAAGCAGACTTGTTCTCCTTATGGCACGTCCCATTCCTGCCTCC